CGCAAAAAAAAATATGGCAAGAGGAGTTAAGGGATCTGTAAAAATAATAATAAAAAAAAATTTGGATCGTTGAAAAAAAGAAACAGGAAGATTTAAAAGTACGAGATAAAAGAGAATGCAGAAGAGAAGGTTTGGAAAAGAAAGACAAAAAAGAAGAAGAAAGAAAGGAATAAGAATCAAGTACACAAGAAAGAAAGAAGACAGAGAAAGAATGAAGGAAATAAAGAAAGAAAGCGAGAAGACAAGAAAGAAAGATCCAAACGACGAAAGAAAAAGAAGAAAGAAAGCAGAAATAAAGATGGAAAGAAAGAAGAAATAAATAAGAAAGAAAGAAATATAGATGAAAGAAGAAAGAGATAAAGAAAAAAAGTAACGAAACAAAGAAGGAACGACACAAAGAAGGAACGAAAGAAAGAAAGAAACAAAGAACAAAGAAAGAAAAAAGAAGGAAAGAGAGAAAAAAACGAAACAAGCAATGAAGAGACGAAACAAAGAAAGAAAGAAAGAAGAAAGAAAGGAAGTAATAAAAAGAAGAAAGAAAGAATGAAGGAATACATAAAGAAAGAAAATTGCAAAGTATAGATGAAAGAAAGAAAAGAAAAGGATAAATAGACAGAAAGAAAGACAGGCAAACAAGCAAGGGAAGAATGAAAATTGTCAAAAGGAGGATGAACCTAAGAAAGGCATGAAAAAGGAAAAGAAAATGAAGAAAATTAAAAATGGATAAGAAAAGAAATAAAAGCAAAAACACGAAAATAGAGGAAAGAAAGAATGAGAGAGTTGTAAAGAGGAGGAAGAATAAGAGAGAGACGAAAGAAGGAAAAGAAAATAGAAAAAAGATAAGAAAAGGGCCAAATTGAATGAAATGAAAACGCAAGAAAGAAAGAAAGAAAGAAAGAAAGAAAGAAAGAAAGAAAGCATAAATGAAGGAAATGCCACGGAGTATCCTATATATAAAGTCTTGTGACAAAACTAAACTTAGTTGATAACTATAAAGAACGAGAAGCTAGAAAAAATGAAAAGAAAGAAAGAAAAATAGCGAAAAAATAACGAAAGAAAAAAGTGAGGGAAAAAGGAAGAAGAAATAACGAAAAGCGTAGAAAAAGCGAAAGTAAAGAAAGACGTGAAAAGAAAGAAGAAAATCAAAAGAAAGAAATGCAAAGAGGAAAACAAAGAGAAAGAAAGAAATACATAGGAAAAGAAAAAAGAAAAGTATGATATGAAAACGGGCAAAATGTCAACCAAATAATGAATGATTCTTTTTATGTAGACGAAGATGTTTTCTGTCTTTCTTTTATATGCCTTATCTCTTCTTCACGATCATGGCTCTCTACAATTTCCCATTCGTTGTAGCTCTAAGCAATACTTGTTTCCTTCCTGTCTGTCCCAGACTCTGATTCCCCAACCATTTACATGGGATCGTTAGGTAAGTTGCTCATTGTTTCCCGAGACTAATTTTTCCCTTATTTTGCTCTGTGAATGTCAAATTCTCCAACCTCACTTTCCTTATTACGCATCCAAGAAATTTCAACGGTGGAGTAATAGATAGCGGCCCAGGGAGGCACGGTGGGATAATGGATAGCTGATCGGATTGAGGAATCGGAGAGCCGAGTTCGAATTCCAGTCGAATCCATTACATTCACTTATGTGCCAATACCCTTCGGAAAGATATGAATCCTCTTCTCCTCTTCACCCCAGGTAAATGGCAGGACAGACCGAGTTCTATAAACGTAGATGGCAACTGGTCTAACGCAGAAAGAAATGGCAACCTACTGTGGGAAAAATCTGCTTCGTCAGTCTTGTATCGAAAGATACATGATCGCCTACGCGTGTATCATTCATGGCACATAACTGACTCGTGAATTCCGGGTTGAAATCTGGTACCAATAAATAACAAACGCCAGGAATGAATATATGAAAATAATGTATTAACGTAATAATACAAACTGGTAAAGCAGGTTAGTAGTTCCAGGAATACGTGTTAGTAGCAAAATATATATATACAGTCTTTGGTATTGAAGTATCGCTGTATGTCTTCTTACTGAGTCTACGTGCTCGCTCACTGTGACTCCTACAACACTGTTACCTCACCCCTCACTCTTCCGGTTACCTACAACTTTTTACTCTGTCACTCTGGACTCGACTCGACTCGGTCTTGCTCTCTCTTACCCTCGTCTCGCTCTTGCAGTAGTATATGTATATACTGGGTGAGTTCATTTGTATAAAAAGGGGTGGACCCCTTAACACTGACTGACTGACTTGTTGATTCTGTTGTCCTTTTTGTTTCCATTTTTGTTAAAAAATACCTTCCATGTTAACATAGTTCGTTTATTGTATTCGCTTCATCGATGACGACATTTCCCAGCATTCATTAGAAGACTTATATCGTATAGCAGTTCAGCACGCTTTTCTTTGTTTCTAATATAATTTTTCCGTTTCTTAATACTTTAATACTTTTAATTGTTTTAAATTAAAACCTTTAACTTTACGAGTTTTTTTCTCTAAATGTTCCAAATAAGCAAGCCGCTAAGAGTAACCAATACTCTTCGCAGGCCACTCATGAAAATCATGATCAGGTTATACGTTGCTTAACTTCGGTGATCAAACTTTGTGAGATATGAACTCTCTCCTCATTAGTGGCCATTAGTGATCATGAGTGACGTGATAATTTTAAGCTTGATAGACAATGAAAAATGTGTCACTAGAAATTGTCGAAACTACAAACTAACCTGGAGAAAAGGAAAAAAGAAAAGATTTTTTGAGACAGATTGAAAATGAAAGCGATGCCATTATCCAGTCGACGAGAACAATGGTCGTCAGCGTATAAATGATTAAAAATTGCCCGTAATTTTGAGCAGAGTCATTGACAATTGAAGTTATTTTTCGGCAAATTGGACCGCTGCAAAGCGAAAAAGAAAGAAATGAAAAGAGGGGAAAAGAAGAGAAAGAACAAATACTTGAAAATAAGATTAAAGAATGACTCAAAAGAAGATAATAATAATAATAATAATAATAATAATAATAATAATAATAATAATATGTAGACAACCCCGTAGCCATCAGTGGCTACGTAGTGCAGGGTTAAAAGCTGAAACTGAAGGTTTTATTCTTGCTGCACAGGACCAATACTTGCTAACTAGAAATTACCAAGCACACATATTGAAAAATTGTGTTCGTCCAAAATACAGATTTTGTGAAAAATATCCAGAAACAATTGACTATCTTGTATCAGGTTGCACGGCATTGGCACCCACTGAATATAAAACACGGCATGACAGAGTGAGTCAATATCTGCATTGGAAAATCTGCAACATTTACGGAAAGGAAACTGCAAGAAATTGGAATGAACACCAACCAGACCCAGTTACAGAGATAGGGCCTGTAACAATTTTATGGGACTTTACAATACAAGCTAATTGCCCTGACATCGTGATTAGAGACCGCAAAGACAAAATGTGCTTCCTTATTGACCTGGAAGTCCCTGCAGACTGCAATGTATCTTTGAAGATCTTCAAAAAAACTATCAAAATACAAGGACCTTGAAATCGAAATCTCAAATATGTGGCGCATGAAGACATTAACAATTCCAGTTGTAGTTGGTACTATCCAGATAAATGCGGAATCGGTAATTTAAGTCATGTAAGTCATGTAATTGAGAAGTCACAGTGGTTAGTGGCTTGGATTTACGGAATCGGAGGCTCGAGTTCGAATTTCAGTCGAGATTGTTACATTCACTTACGTGCCTTTAGTAAAGGCATGAATCCATCTCTCTCGCCAACATGGATCAGCCAATGTGGTTTAGTGTCTTACTTCGAACTTTATTCGAGATATGGGTAAGATTGAGTTATGTAGCCTTGGGTGTCAATCTCGGAGAACGGTCCCTGAATTAAAAACCTCCAATTAGTAGTTAAATAGCCTCACCAACCCTCAATTAGCCTTGTAGATATAATCAATCGTCCAAGGTGTCAGAAGGCTCTGGAACTGGACTTGTACAATGAGTTTTCATCCCTGGTCGTTTTCTTTTGAAAATGACAAGAAAAATGGATCTTCATTCACTCTAATATTTCTTCAGTTAATCTCAGTGTGTGGCCTACAACCCGTGTACTCGACCAAGACATGAACTCTGTTGTTAACCATGTTTGCCGTAGTCTTTGAATATAGAATCCAGTGAAGTACGTAATGTGTTCAATATCAGAGGTTGGCAGCGAAGATTCGGAGAAAGTAGCAGCTGTTAAGTAATTCTTTAAGTCTTCGATATCAGAGGTTGCCTTTATACACGTCGGATTGAATATTTTGAGCTTTCTGATTGGTTAACCCTTCTATTGGTGAACTATAAAATGAGTCAGTCCATTTTGGTTGGCTCACTAGTACATCAGTGTACCCAAAAATTCCAACAAATTCTACATTCTCCTGTGGTGTCTGTAGAAGACGACCCAACTCCTTTTCCCGGACGGTTGTTTATATGTTAATCTGTCCAACAGGTTTTCATACGAGCGTGCATATCAGTCGTCGTCATGATCACAGGTATTTGCCACTAGGGTCACCACTGACATCGAGTGAATTTGAAGTCTCTAACCCTGGCTTAGGTCAGCGCTGCACCTAGCTTTCTTTAATAATCTGGAGTGAACTTGGGGTCATTCCGGCAGAGTATCACAAGAATTTAGCCTTTTATTATGTCGACACATTATAAAATTACCATTCCTGAAAAACATTTTAATAAGATTTAATAAGATTCACGTCTCTGTTTTATCTATCTATCTATCTATCTATCTATCTATCTATCTATCTATCTATCTATCTATTCGTATCTATCTATCTAAATATATTCGTATATATCTATCTAAATCTATTCGCATCTATCTATCTATCTATCTATCTATCTATCTATCTATCTATCTATTCGTATCTAAATCTATTCGTATCTAGCTATCTATCTATCTAAATCTATTCGTATCTATCTATCTACCTATCTATCTATCTATCTAAATATATTCGCATCTATGTATCTAAATATATTCGTATCTATCTATCTATCTATCTATCTATCTATCTATCTAAATATATTCGTATATATCTATCTAAATCTATTCGTATCTATCTATCTATCTATCTATCTATCTATCTATCTATCTATTCGTATCTATCTATCTAAATATATTCGTATGTATCTATCTAAATCTATTCGTATCTATCTATCTAAATCTATTCGTATCTAAATCTATTCGTATCTAGCTATCTATCTATCTAAATCTATTCGTATCTATCTATCTATCTATCTATCTATCTATCTATCTATCTATCTATCTAAATATATTCGCATCTATGTATCTAAATATATTCGTATCTATCTATCTATCTATCTATCTAAATATATTCGTATATATCTATCTAAATCTATTCGTATCTATCTATCTATCTATCTATCTATCTATCTATCTGTCTATCTATCTATCTATCTATCTAAATCTATTCGTATCTATCTATCTAAATATATTCGTATGTATCTATCTAAATCTATTCGTATCTATCTATCTATCTATCTATCTATCTATCTCAGTCTGTTCACTGCTGTTTCATATGTATCCATCTGTCCAACATTTTTTCCCTCACGACCGTACATATCAAGCTCATTGTGTGCTTCACAACGGGTGAGTCTCGGATCTCCAGACCTGACCGGGGTCATCTCGGGACAAACTTGCGTCTCTCTTCCTTTTGACGGTCTGGTGTAAACTTGGTGCCACGCTTATTCTGGCAAAATACCACGGTAAGAACAGTGAAGAGCGTGCTGCATCTTTTAGAAGACTTGCTATCACTTCACCAGCTTGGAGGCAAGTGCGACAGTTGTAGAAATTCATTAGATAACAAAGCCTAAAGAAAGCGAAACGAGAAAGAAGGCTGTGAAATAAAAAGAAATAATAATAACACGCAAAAAGAACCAAAAAAAAAAAAACAACAAAAAAAAAAAACAAAAAAAAAAAAAGGGAATGAAGTTAAAGAAAATCGAGAAGGAAAAAGAAAAAAGAAAAGGAAGCGATTAGTGAACTGTTAATAAAAAAAAATCTTTTATTATCTGATGTTGATAAATAGCCATAATAGAAAGTCTGTCAACTGCTCAAATAACGACTTCTTTGTTTGGACAAACAAACAGTTGCACCAGAAAGAAAGATGGAGAAAAAAAAGGACATCATATATAACAATAAGCATATATAAACAAAACAATGATACCTTTATAGTTAAAAACAAAAAGTTCTAAGTATAAATCAAGAGAAAAAAAAACAACAGAAAGTGAAACAAAACTGTAATGAGCAAAATAAACTGTAGCTTGCTCACGAAGAAAATATTTGCACAGAAAAATAATATTTTGGCGCGAAATCCGCAGGTGATTAATATTTTTGTGTATGTGTGCGACGAAGCCTGTTTTCTATCCGTGCGTACCTCTGTTGATCACGAATATATGTTAAATCTTTTTAAAAAAAACAAAAATTAACTCATTGTCAGATATATATATACATATAGCAATGAGTCTAGAAGAATCCTCAACAGAATGCAGAAAGCACTGGACGGCCGTTTCGTTCTATCTGGGACTCATCAGCAGTGCGCATCCATTACCGAGAATCGAAGCCGGACCATTTCGACAAAACGCGAACGTCATACCAACTGTACCACGGGACTCGGTGACGAAGAAGACACTACCTAGACTCGATATAGCGTGTTACTCACTCAATTCCTCGGCGATACCCATCCAAGTATTCAGATAACCTCGGAACACTGCCCTAAGAGCCACGACTGCTTTTTGACCCATAGCCGCTCTATCGCAGAGCATAACCTGGGTCTAGCAAGGTATACAAGTAATTAATTTTGGGGATTTAATCTTATAGCAGTCGTGGCTCTTGGGGCAGTGTTCCGAGTTATCTGAATACTTGGATGAGTATCGCTGCGGAACTGAGTGAGAAGGACGTTATATCGAGTCTAGTTTGTGTCTTCTTCGTCGCCGAGTCCCGTGGTACAGTTGGTATCACGTTTGTATTGTATCAAAACGGTCCGGGTTCGATTGTCGGTAGTGGATGCGCGCTGCTGATGAATCCCAGACGGGACGAAACGGCTGTCCAGTGCTTTCTGCATTCTGTTGAGGATTCTTCTACACTCATTGCTATAAGCCAAAATCCTCAAAATTAATTACTTATACATATATTTCTAAGAATATTTCTTCGTAACTTAAATGTGTACTTTTTGCCGGAAGTAAGGTGTCGAGCCGTTAATATGACAGTTCCCCGAGACATGTATGAATACCACGCATCCCCCAACATCTAACCTATATTTTTAACTTTTCAAATTTAGTGTTGACCTTCCTTCTGATTTGTTAAAAGAGACACACCCATAAGATCTAAAAATCTTGATTCCTTCCTTAACTCTTTAATAAGCAAACAAAATTGTTTTCTATTTTCAAATGTAATTCATTCTCGCTAAAGTTAACGAAGATTGCCTGATAACAAGATAAAACCAATAATTCAGGAAACATAGAAATTTCCGTGTCGCAATGTAAAATATTTTAAATAAAAAATATCATTAATATCTATACATATATATATATATATATATATATATATATATATATATATATATATGAATCTATATCAATATCTTTATATATATATGTACGTGTATATATATTTATATGAATCTATATTAATATCTATATATATATGTACGTATATATATATATATATATATATATATATATATATATATATATATATATATACGCACGTTTGTAGTGCAACTAAAGTTTCATGGTTTCACCAACTCATCAGGAACGAACTATTAGCAATAATTCGTACTTGATGTGTTGGCAAAACCATGAAACTTAATGTTTCCCAACGGATGTAGGTATATGTGTAGCTATTAATACATACTTCTTAGCTCTGCCTAACCCCATTCAGCACTCTTTTGTTTACAATTTATATTAAGTAAGTATTTATTCGCTTAACTGTGGATGCACGTCAGCACATGTATATACAGGTGGTATTGTCTAATGATTTGGTTTATATCCTCATTTATACATACATATATATATATATATATATATATATATATAGAGAGAGAGAGAGAGAGAGAGAGATAGATAGATAGATAGAGAGGTATAAACTGGTATTACTGAAGTGGACTAGATTAATATAGATGGAAAAGTAGTTTAATACTGAAGAGGTCTAAATAGATATTGCCCGAATTAGATAGATAGAGAGATAGATAGTGTGAGATAGATAGATAATGAATAGTGTGAGATAGATAGATAGATAGATAGATAGATAGATAGATAGTTTTTGTATGCCTGCCTTTGTGGGGGTGATAGACAGAGTTATATATATATATATATATATATATATATATATATATAGAAAGAGAGAGAGAGAGAGAGAGAGAGAAAGAGAGAGGGAGAGAGGGGAAATGGAAAGACAAACAAAAAGGAACCCGCAACTAAGGAGAAGTAGGAGGAGAACAAGTAAGCGAAGGCTGAGAACAGCTAGCTCGGTCAATAGATGGCTAGATAGATGTAAACGTAAATAGATAGAAATATAACATGAAATAGATAGATAAATACTGACGAGGCTAAGATAGCTATAGATGTGAACAAGTAGATAGATAGATAGATAGATAGATAGATATCGAACTGACTAAAATAGATATATAGATTGATAAATAGGAATATAATCATAATACTGAAGAGGGCTAGATAGATATAAACAGATATAGATAGAAATATAAGAGTCTAAGATAGCCATAGATGTGAACAAGTAGATAGATAGATAGATAGATAGATATGTACATAATCAAGTAGATAGATAGATAGATAGGAATATAATCATAATACGGAAGAAGGCTAGATAGATATAAACAGAAATATAAATATAAAATGATATAGATAAATACCGAAAAGTGTAAGATAGATCAAGATGTGAACACAAAGATTAATTCTGAAAAAGGCTATATAGATCTAAGTATAAGATCGATAGACAGATAAATAGATAGGTATATACATAGATAAGATAGTGTCTGTGGGTGTGTAGGTGTGTGTGTGTGTGAGAGAGAGAGAGAGAGAGAGATTGAGAGAATCGGAAATGGAAAGAAAAACAGAAAGAAATGCTCGATCTCAGGAGGAAGAGGCGAAGGTGGAGCACAGAATGTTTCAAGCTGGGTATCTCGCCGTAAGTGTTGGGCCGGCAGCCTCCAAGGAAGCGCGGTTGGTGCCGGTGGGGAGGTCGTCGAAGCGGCAAGAAGATTAACTGCACTTCGTAGGCCTCACTTGCCGACCATTACGGCGAAGTCGACATAATGTATATCCAAGTGGGTCGGACTGATTATCTTAAGTAGCCGAAACTATGAAGACGCCAACACAGATACGCAGAAAAAGGTTCACCCAGTAGTACGGGCCGCCCGATCAGATAGAACAATCTCGTATCACCAAGGACAATACTGGAATATAAGTAGCGTGGCAAAACTAAAACTCAATATATATATATATATATATATATATATATATATATATATATATATATATATGTGTGTGTGTGTGTGTGTGTGTGTATTTATACAAGTCAATTCTTATCCATTTAGGTAGTCTAACTTCTAGTTTTCCCTTCTGAATAGGCTTAACTTTTAGAATCGGGTAGAACATGAACTTTCTGTTTAACGGACATTCTTTTGCGGATTTAATGAAAAACAAAGTGTTTTTTCTTTCTTTCGTTTGTTTTGCTGATTTCTTTTTTACTATGGTTATTTATAGTTTTTATTTTTATTTTGGAAACTTTTATTTTAGGAAGGTGATGGTTGTCTAATGTCGAGCCGAAGACGAAAAATTTGATCTGAACGAAAGAAATGTCGATGATCAGAAATAACAAGAAATAAATGCTTCCTTTCAAATAGAAAATCGATTGATATTGTGCTCATGTATTTGTTTTAAAGTTTTGCTCAGAATTTACACTAAAATTGATAATCTGTTGCAAAATCTATCTATCTATCTATCTATCTATCTATCTATCTATCTATCTATCTATCTATCTATCTATTTGACGCTGTTAATATCTAACTACTGTTCATATCTATCTATCTATCTATCTATCTATCTATCTATCTATCTATCTATCTATCTATCTATTTGACGCTGTTAATATCTAACTACTTGATGCTGTTCATATCTATCTATCTATCTATCTATCTATCTATCTATCTATCTCATGCTGTTCATATCTATCTACTTGATTCTGTTCATACCTATCTATCTATCTATCTATCTATCTATCTATCTATCTATTTGACGCTGTTAATATCTAACTACTGTGCATATCCATCTATCTATCTATCTATCTATCTATCTATCTATCTATCTATCTACTTGACGCCTTTCATATCTATGTACTTGATGCTGTTGATATCTATCTATCTATCTATCTATCTATCTATCTCATTATGCTGTTCATATCTATCTACTTGATGCTGTTCATATCTATCTATCTATCTATCTATCTATCTATCTATCTATCTCATTATGCTGTTCATATCTATCTACTTGATGCTGTTCATATCTATCTATCTATAAATCTATCTATCTGATTCTGTTTCTATCTATCTATCTATCTATCTATCTATCTATCTATCTATCTATCTATCTACTTAATTCTGTTTATATCTATCTATCTATCTATCTATCTATCTATCTATCTATCTATCTATCTGATTCTGGTTATATCTATCTATCTATCTATCTATCTATCTATCTACTTAATTCTGTTTCTATCTATCTATCTATCTATCTATCTATCTCATTATGCTGTTCATATCTACTTGATGCTGTTCATATCTACTTGATGCTGTTCA